ATTATATTTGTGAATTCATTCACATTGTTGCTTGTTAGCTGATAGATCCCTCACTCTTGGTGCTGTACGAATATACCACACTATCCGTCCCACTGCTGAACATCTGTGCAGTTTCCACTTGGGGGCTACTTCAAATAGTGCTGTTATAAACATTTTTTTGGCTGTTGTTATAAACATTTTTGTAAAGGTCTTTTGGTGAACATGTGTAACACATGTATGCATTGCTGTTGGCTCCTACGAGTGGAATTTCTGCATCATAAATAAGCATATGCTTCACTTCAGTATATAATGCCAAACAGGTTTCCAAAGCAGTTGTGCCAACTTACACACCCCTCATTAGTGTCAAAGAGTTCCATTTGCTCCCTATTATCACCAACACTTGATATTTTCCATCTTTTTCTTTTTAGCCATCATGGTGGGGTTATCGTGGTATTGCCACATGGTTTCGATTTGTATTTTCCTTATGATGAATGCAACTGGACATTTTTTCATATAGTGCTTGGCCACTTAGATATAATCTTTTGTAAGACGTCAATTCCCTATCTTTTATTTTAAAAATCTTACGGTGTTTTCTCCCTCATTCTTTTTTATTTTCCTTGCTGTAGAAAGACTTCCTCTTTCTTCCTGCTCTGACCCCTAGGGAGTCTTTATAACATCTGAATTTTTAGGGTAACATTCTTTCATTTTATTTTTGAGCCTGTACTAATTCACCCTTGGTTCCTTTTTTTTTTTTTTTTTAATGAGGAGTATTTTATTTTAATGATCAGTTGTTAGGGCACTAAAGATATAAGATAAAGGACTTCTTTTTTTCTTCAGAAACTTAAAATGTGGAAGTATGACCTACTAGGCAAAGCAAATCCTGCTCACAAGGTTTTCTTTTTGGCAGACAGATTAATTTGAAATGTGATAAAAATGCATATAAAGATTTTTTAGTGAGTGCGTACAAGATTACGGAATACAAGGCTACTTTCTAACTCAGAAAGCTTACATAGAACGATAGACTCATAGAACAGATTAGTAGAGCTAGAGGTGTGGGGTAGGGAGGAGAAATAGATGAAAGGGGTCAAAAGGTACAAACCTCCAGTTAAAAGACAAATAACTTGGGCTTCCCTGGTGGCGCAGTGATTGAGAGTCCACCTGCCGATGCAGGGGACACGGGTTCGTGCCCCGGTCCGGGAGGATCCCACGTGCTGCGGAGCGGTTGTGCCCGTGAGCCGTGGCCGCTGAGCCTGCGCGTCCGGAGCCTGTGCTCTGCAACGGGAGAGGCCACAACAGTGAGAGGCCCGCGTACCGCAAAAAAAAAAAAAAAAAAAAAAAAAGACAAATAACTTCTGGGAAATAAAGTACAAACATGGTGAGTATAGTTAAAAACACTGAATTGTATTTGAAAGTTGCTAAGGAAGTAGATCTTAAAAGTCCTCATCACAAGAAAAACACAAGTTGTAACTGTGTGTGGCAATGGATGTTAAACTTGTCTGTCTTAAACTAATACAATGTTACATGTCAATTACATCTCGGCTTAAAAAGAAAATCTCTCAACTGAAATATGACAGATTTTTAAATTGTTAGAATATTTGTTTTTACTGACTTTTAATTTTTAAGTCAATAAAAGCTTCAAAATTACTTAGTGAATACATTCATTAAAAAAGAGAAACAAACAAAAAACACACACACAAAAAAAAAATAAAAAAGAGAAACAAACTGTTACTCTTCCCCTGCCCACATTATAGCCCATCAGGAAAAAGCACTGAGTTCAGGCCAAAATCATAAAAACTTTCAATTAAACTAATAATTGCTGGCATGTTTCCGTTTAAATTTCCTTGCCTCATTATCTCTGATTGCTTTTCACACCGTTAGGTCACTAAAGCCTGCTTTTGAGACAAAAACTATTCATTCCCCAAAAGTCAGGGGAACAATTAATGATAAGGATGTAAGTTAATTAACACAATCATTTTGGCTTAATTATTTAAAGTCCAGTGTTATTCCTCCAGCACACCTGTCCCCTAGCTTTCAGAACCATACTGAGATCTGTAATTTTTCACTGATGAATTTATAGCTTTCACATACACAAAGAGAAGAAATAGAATCTTAAAGGCAATGCACACAAAAATTATTGTCAACACACACACGCCAACTTTTACACACACACACCCCTACATATTTTTAAAGGATGTCTTCTTTAATATTAACAATGGGATTTTTGTTTCCAACTAAACAATTTTAGTAATTCTTTTGAGACACCTTTGCTATTCATTTTTTTAACTTTATACTCTTTGAATACTGTAATTTTGTTTTTACCATTTTAACCATTTTTAAGTGTACTACTCAGTGACATTAAGTACATTCACACTGCTGTGCGACCATTACCACCATCCATCTCCAGAATTTTTTCATCTTCCTAAACTAAAACTCTTTTCCCATTAAACAGTGACTCCCTAATACCTCCTTCTCCCACCATTCTATTCTACTTCTGTCTCTCTGTGTTTGACTACTCTATGTACCTCATATAAGTGGAATCATACAGTATTTGTCCTTTTGTAGCTGGCTTAATTCACTGAGCGTAATGTCTTCAAGTTTCAGCCCTGTTGTAGCGTGTGTCAGAATTTCCTTCCTTTTTTAAGCTAATATTCCATTGGATGTATATACCACATTTTTTAATCCATTCATCTGTTGATGGACATTTAGATTGCCTCTACCTTTTGGCTATTGTGAATAATGTTGCTATGCACATGGATGTACAAATATCTGTTTGAATCCCCGCTTTCATTTCTTTTGAGAGAAGTGAAAAGAATCCCGGAAGTGGAATTGCTGAATCCTATGGTAATACTATGTTTAATTTTTTTGAGGAACTGCCATGGTGTTTTCCACAGGGGCTAAACATTTTACATTCCCACCAGTAATGCACAAGGTAAACACTGTATTTTATTTGTATTTTAAATCTATGAACTCTGAATAGCTTTTGTACACATCCCATGACCCCAAGACCAGCATTTGTCTGTCTGTCTGTCGATCTATCTACATAGATATTTAGAATGGAAACATTAATTTGCAACTGGTGGAAGCACCCTGAGTCAAGAAGCAGTTTTGATTGGTGTACCTAACTGGGCCCTCTCTTGCTGGGGGTCTCTTATTCTTCTGGGTATCTGAGGGAGGTTGGGATGGGCAGACAGATTCCCCTACCCAGCTCTGTAGCCAGAGGGGCAAGTCCTGGTGACTTAATTGCCCTGGGTGACAGAGATCTGGTCTCTCCCAGAGGGCTTTTCTATGGGTTTATAACAGTTTTCTAGAGGTGGTCTCCAAACAGCACTGCCTGGAATGGCTCTTTATTTGCAATTTACTTCATCTTTGACAATCTAGTTGAATTCTCCTATTTCTCCCCGTTTAGTTTTCTAATTAATTTAATCATTTGTCTTTTAGTATTTTTGCCAATACTTGTCTGGGAATTTGCCCACTGGGTTTCCTTGTACCCAGACCTTTTACACCCTAGGCAGGAAGCTGCTTTCTGAAAAACTTCCAGAAGGTGACCTGCATTTTGATGAGTATTTGTTAGTTATAATTGTTGTGCCCATGGGAATGGCAAAAGGGTTTTTTATACCTGAAATATATGGGCTGACAGACTTGCTTATGTTTGGTGTGTAGAACTGACTTTTGTCACTTGGGGTTGGGGAGAGGTGCAGGTGGCACAGTGGTTTATCTCACTGGAGGGAGCGGTTCTTTGGAGTCGAGCCCTCATGTTTCTTTGAACTGTTACAGCCTAAGGATTCTCCTGTGGATGTTTCTCTAGCTTCCCTATACCTTCTGATAAGACCTTCTTCCAAATAGGACTGTGGCTTCTGTGAGGGATCCCCTTATTCACAGCCTCTAAATGGTTGGGGTCCCCTGGCACTCTTAGACCTCTTCTCCGGTCCATTTACATTCATTCCCTAGGTGATCTCTACCAGGCCCATGCATTAAATAAATCTGTAGGCTAATAACTTCCAGATATATATCTCCAGTCTTGCCCTTTCCCCAAAACTCTAAATTTGTTTATCTAACTGCCTATATAGCATCTCAGATTGGTTGTCTGAGAACAATGTTGCTTTGAACATACCTAAAACCAAACTCTTTACTTTTTCCACCCAAGTAAATATTCACCTTCTTTCTTTTCTAGTTCAGTAAATGGTTCCATCTTTTATCCAGTCACTCAGGCCAAAAGTCTTGTTGTAATCTTTCACTCTCAACTGTTAGGTCAAATTCAATCTGCAAATCCTGCCACTTTTACTTTCAAAATACATCCTAAAGCCTACCACTTCCCCTTCTCGCCACCTTCACTGCTCACAACCTTTCCCTGTGGCCATCGGCTCCTTCCTGGATTCCTGCAATGGCCTTCTAACTGGTCACTCTGCTTCCATGCTTGCCCCTCTATAGGCTAATCTCCGTAGGGTTCCCAAGATGGATCTTTAAAAAATAATATCCAGATCATACCACCTCTGCTCTCATACTTCTAAGGGCTTCTCATTTTATTCCCAGAATACAATTCAAAATCTTTGTCATGACCTGTAGGTCATGTAAGACCCTATGTGAATTGTCTCTGTCTCTGGCTGCCTCTGACATCTTACCTCTTACTGTTCTTTGCCTCCACACCTCTATTGGATCCACACTGGGCCTCTGGATGTTCCTGACACAGACCCAGCATCCCTCAAAATCTTGTAACTTGCTTTTCCCTTATAACTTCCCTTATAACCTCAAAATCTTGTAACTTGGTTTTCCCTTATAACTTTCTGGAACACTCTTCCCACGGTTTTTACATGGCTCGTTCCCTCACTGTATCCTGGTTTCTACTCATATGTCAGCTTCTCTGAGAGGCCTTTTCTCACAACCTTATGTAGAATCTCACCCTCCCAACAGTACTGCAGATGGCACTATATGAAACTGCCCTTCTTGTAGGTCAAAAACGGTAGAATATTGTCAATTTCAATAGTTTTAGTGCACACATATAACATTATTGTACTTACCTGTCATCCTTTATATATTTACAGGTTTATTGTTTATTTATTGGCTTGTTTATTTATTACACTTCCTCCCCAGAAGTGTAAGTATATGGAAGGCAGGGACTTGGGTTGCTCCTCTCTAGACAGTACCTGAAACAAAGAGGCGTTGACACATCGTCAGCTGTACACTTCTTCCATCTTTTGCCCTTTGATATGTTAAGCTCATCAAACTGCTCTCTGTGCAGGCACACTGGTGTTTTTGGAGGCCAATCCCTTTCACTCCTCATCAAGAGCCACACTCTTACATCCTTAGAATTTTATTTTTGAGATCCTGTCATCCTCTTATACAGATTTCTCTTTCTGATTGTCTGGTTATGGGACTAGACTACACTTTCCTCTGAGCTTCTGAGAGCTGTATACTGACATTTAGGATTCATGTCAGAGCCTCTCCAGAATTGCTTTTCTTGGGCATTTTAATCCCCCATGTGAAAGACACTCCCTGATTCCCAGTCCTCTAGGTTCCTGTATTCCTGCTTCAATAACCAGTTCTTCCTGGGAGGTCAGAATTAAATCTAGGAGGAAAGTTCTTTCTGTTTCTTCCTCTTCCTCTGCAAAATGCAATTATCACCAAGACAAGGTCAAAAATATATCATATGTTCTGCTTCTATAGAAATGAGATTTCCAGTCAAAACTCAGAGCTGGTAAATTCCCATTTTGCTATGACTTGCAATGTGTCAATTCTGTGATCTTTTTAGGAACATATTAATCAGCGCTCCATCTTACTTAGCTGAGGCTATCATATTCACTTATGGTAGGAAAGGTGCTTTCCAAACCGCTTAACAGTGAGTGGAATCTTCAATAATCAACACAGTAATGTTTAGTACTTTCCCCAAAAAATGTACCGAAAGACTGTAACTTGAGTTCCTAGTTACACTTGATTCAAACTGATTTTCGAGTGTCCATGTTAATGAAAATAATATTTAATGACACTTGTTAAAGATGGTAAGGTAGGGCTTCCCTGGTGGCGCAGTGGTTGGGAGTCTGCCTGCCGACGCAGGGAACATGGGTTCGTGCCCCGGTTCGGGAAGATCCCACATGCCGCGGAGCGGCTGGGCCCGTGAGCCATGGCCGCTGAGCCTGCGCATCCGGAGACTGTGCTCCGCAACGGGAGAGGCCACAACAGTGAGAGGCCCGTGTACCGCAAAAAAAAAAAAAGATGGTAAGGTAGACTTTATTCAGGACCATAATGAGGGTACAGGGACCATGGCAATGGGATTTTACAGTGGGAGAGAGAGACTGGGCTCAAGGCAAATGGGATTTGTAGCCAAGGAGCAGGAAGCAGGGGGTCAGTGGATGGAAAATTATCCCTAAGAGGAAGCATTAGGGATAAAGGGGGTTCTGGCTAAACTGACCTAACAGGATTCTTTCTGAAAGCAAGCCAGGGTGATCAGACATCACTTGGTGGGACATCACTGAACTGATCAGATATCCAGGGTGATCAGATATCAAGGGGAGTAGAGGAATCTGGTTAAACTAACTTAGCAGGGTTCTTGGTAAAACTAGGCAGCGCACTGATGGCCTAGGAGAAGTTTCAGGATCTTGAATAAAGTTTGGTCAAGCAAAGAATCTTTGTCACCAGCTTGCAAATGGGGGTGGACATGGAGGGGAATAGCACAGAACAAAAATCAAGGGCCTGCACTTGGAGTCAGACATACTTGTTTCTGAATCTTATTGCTCCTATGTGTAGTAGTCAGAAACCAAACCAATAATTTTAACAGAAAAGAACTTAATAGTGGGAATTGGTTAAAAGGATGTCAAAGACCCGAAAAGGTAAAAGAAGATATTGGGGCACCAGAAAGATAGTAACTTTAGGAAGCAGTTCCCGTCCCCAAGGCTAGTGGCACAAAGAGAAGAGGATAAGGTCATTAGAGCCCAGAAGCTCGGAGTAGAGGCCTTTATAACTGGAACCCAGACCTCTGGGAAGGGGGTGCCAGTTAACTGATGTTGGTATTTCTGAGGGGCTGGTTCTAGGAATGTGGAAAATTACTGCTGCTGAGGTGAAAAACCATTACTGGGGTGATGCTGACAGTACCAGGAAGCAAGCAGGGAGAAGAAAGTCCCTTCTTCCTCGTCTAGCCTTAGACTGTCCTCACATGCCAAGAAAGAGCCACAGACAAAGCAGAAATGTGATTTGCAGAGTCCTAGCCTCAGCATCACAGAACAGAGCAGAGCAGAGAGGTTTTGAAACAGAGAGAAATTGCATAATCACTAGTTTAATGGTTTTAAAGAAATGGCATAATCTCTTTTTTTTTTTTTTTTCTTGCGGTATGTGGGCCTCTCACCGTTGTGGCCTCTCCCATTGCGGAGCACAGGCTCCGGACGCGCAGGCTCAGCAGCTATGGCTCACGGGCCCAGCCGCTCCGCGGCATGTGGGATCTTCCCAGACTGGGACACGAATCCATGTCCCCTGCATCGGCAGGCGGACTCTCAACCACTGCGCCACCAGGGAAGCCAGACATAACCTCTTTAAGCCACAATTCCTCTACCTATGTAATGGGGAGATATGCCTTCTCTTAAGGTTCTTGTAAGGATTAAATGAGTGATGGATACAGATGACTCAAGTGCGTTGTCAGTAGCTTCAGATCTGGCTATGTCCCTGACGCCTCACCTTCAACCTTACTCCAGCATCCAGAGGGTGATAAGGAAAAGGAGAAGGAAAGATGGAAAGAGGAGAGAAGAAAGAAGTTGAGAAAAGAAGAAGGGGGAGGGGAGGATGGCAGAAATGTGACCAGTTCGCTGGGCATGTGTAGCCACTTGTACAAATGGTTTACCACCACCAGAGAGAAGGGCCAAAGCCCTGTGGACCATCCCTGGGCTCCTTGGGAAGGCTTTTCCCACTTTGAACAAATTACATGCTCCAGAGCTTTTAATGATTCCTGGGGGTTGGTGTTATGATTTCTGCAAAATCATGGAAACTAATAACAGTAGCTGGAGGCATGTGATCATTTTCTAAAAAGTGAAGGCTTAGTGGCTTGGCAAAGGATGACAGCAGGAGGTCTTAATGAGTTAGACCACAAATTAATCCTGCCTTATTTTTCCTTTAACTGTTTTTTTTCCCACTGTGTCTTTGGCTAGCTCCAGCAGCTGTTCTAACTGTGTAATCAAGTCATTTCTAGGAAAGCTGAGCAGCTGGGTCAGTACTATATGTTCTAGTGATCATTGGCTGTCAGGTTGAAGCTTAAATTAATATTCTGAACAGTTATCGAATTTCGGCTGCCCCATCTTCACAGAAGCCAGCAACTGGAAATGTTACTGGTACTCAGGTTTCTACTTTCATCAACACATTCAAGGAGGGATGAAATCCAGAGCCAGCCTGGTACTGCCAACAATATTTCTTAGAGTTGCTGTTGATGTGAAAAATAGATAATACTAAGTTGGGTCTAAGGAACTGAAAATGTTACCATTCACTATGTCTGCCCGAGCTGAACAGGACGACTGTCATCCCACCATGCTGAGCTGTCTCCCTTGCCTTTAGGTCTCGTTTCCTTCCTGGATAATAAACATAAAATCCCTATAATGAGACCTAAATAGACATTTCTCCGAAGAAGATATACAGATTGCCAACAAACGCATGAAAGAATGCTCAACATCACTAATCAATAGAGAAATCCAAATCCAAACTACAATGACGTATCACCTCACACCAGTCAGAATGGCCATCATCAAAAAATCTACAAACAGTAAATGCTGGAGAGGGTGTGGAGAAAAGTGAACCCTCTTGCAGTGTTGGTGGGAATGTAAATTGATACAGCCACTATGGAGAACAGTATGGAGGTTCCTTAAAAAACTAAAAATAGGGGCTTCCCTGGTGGCGCAGTTGTTGAGAATCTGCCTGCCAATGCAGGGGACATGGGTTCGAGCCCTGGTCTGGGAAGATCCCACATGCCGCGGAGCAACTAGGCCCATGAGCCACAACTACTGAGCCTGCGCATCTGGAGCCTGTGCTCCGCAACAAGAGAGGCCACGATAGTGAGAGGCCCCCGCTTGCCGCAACTGGAGAAAGCCCTCACACAGAAACAAAGACCCAACAAGCCAAAAATAAATAAATAAATAAACAAACAAACAAACAAAAACCTAAAAATAGAACTACCATACGACCCAGCAAGCCCACTACTGGGCATATACCCTGAGAAAACCATAATTCAAAAAGAGTCATGTACCATAATGTTCACTGCAGCTCTATTTACAACAGCCAGGACATGGAAGCAACCTAAGTGTCCATCAACAGATGAATGGATAAAGAAGATGTGGCACATATATACAATGGAATATTACTCAGCCATAAAAAGAAACAAAATTGAGTTATTTGTAGTGAGGTGGATGGACCTAGAGTCTGTCATACAGAGTGAAGTAAGTCAGAAAGAGAAAAACAAATACTGTATGCTAACATATATATATGGAATCTAAAAAAAGAAAAAAAAAAGGTTATGAAGAACCTAGGGGCAGGGTAAGCCGGGATGAAGTGAGAGTGGCATGGACTTATATATAGTACCAAATGTAAAATAGGTAGCTAGTGGGAAGCAGCCACATAGCACAGGGAGATCGGCTCAGTGCTTTGTGACCACCTAGAGGGGTGGGATAGGGAGGGTGGGAGGGAGACACAAGAGAGAGGAGATATGGGGATATATGTATACATATAGCTGATTTACTTTGTTATAAAGCAGAAACTAACACACCATTGCAAAGCAATTATACTCCAATAAAGATGTTTTTTAAAAAAATCCCTATAATGGGGACTTCCCTGGTGGTACAGTGGTTAAGAATCCACCGGACAATGCAGAGGACACAGGTTCGAGCCCTGGTCTGGGAAGATCCCACCTGCGGCGGAGCAACTAAGCCCGTGCGCCACAACTACAGAGCCTGTGCTCTAGAGCCCATGAGCCACAACTACTGAGCCCACGTGCCACAACTACTGAAGCCCGTGCACATAGAACCCATGCTCTGCAACAAGAGAAGCCACCGCAATGAGAAGCCCGTGCACTGCAACGAAGAGTTGCTGCCAGCACGCAGCAACAAAGACCCAATGCAGCCAAAGAAATAAATTTATTTTTTAAAAAGTAAGAAAAAAAATCCCTATAATGCAAAAGGAC